ACCAATCTGGTGATTGCCAACTGACAATAAAAATCATGCTTAACATGCACCTATGGAGTCATTGTGACTTGTTGAGTAAATAATTTAAGTTAGTAAGTAGATCATAAGAGGCTCACAAGCATAGGCCTACAGGTATAATTTACAAAGTGACTCACAATAGTCACAATGGAACATCTGTATGACATCCACCAAATAAGCAAGACACAAAGTTCCAAAATGAAGAATATCCTTCTCTAACTTTCAGTTTTAACTAATGTTTTTTTTTTTATTAGAGAAAACAAAATAAGACCACAGCTACAAGTTCAATATTGAGATTGGATTTCAGTATCCAATCTCAGTGCGTTGTGAACCTTGTTTGACAACTGCCATAAAACACCAAGAAGACACAAAGGACAATGGGCTTCAATACAACAAATGTTGCCAGGTCAGAATTTTACCGTCATTATTGTGACACTACGACGTTTTATGCTGTGGACCGATGTAGCTTTCATACATTTTGCTGTGAGACTGGACTGTCCTAGAAGATGCGTGTCAGGGAATATGGAGGAGTTTTATAATGGGCAGAGTCAGAGGAAATGACAGAACAGGAAAGCAAATCTGATGCAGAAATTTAAATTAAGCACAGAGCAGAGCAGCACTCAACAGGCAAGCTAACAGACATCACTTGACAGACACTTGCTCCAACACGATCAACATGGCATACCTGGCTAGGAGAAGTCCCATATGTATATATTCATTAGAATGACAAATTAAAACGAGCACAGCTTGAGATGAGCTCGTGTGCGTGCCTTTGAGAAGCACCACCATACTGAGATGCTTCTCCCAAACAAGCAGCACATTAGCACCGCCCTATCAAATGACGCATCATTACTAGCTGGTATGCTATTAAAGCATAGACAACAGTTTGCTTGATGGTACTGCATATGCATAGTGCTTAATCCATTGCCTGCCAGTATTCACCACTCTCCAAAAACATTTATGTGATCTGTAGTGCAATATCATACCCACTTGAGAGCCTATCATTTATTTGTGCTTGAAGCATTAGCTGCAGAACTATACAACATCCATTACTGAGGACTGCTCGCACTTCTGCATTCACTCCCTGTCTGTCTGATAATCTTGTGTCATCTAGAGTAAACTAAAATGAGAGCCATCCCATCTGTATGATTATCAAAGAGAAAGAGTAAGAGGCTTAAAAAAAGGAAGGTCTGAAAATGTTTTGTGGGTGGTTAAACGAACATTTGATTCACATACTTTTTTACCATTTACATTTTCCTTGATTACTCCACTACACAATTCATGATGCAAAAGTCTTAGGCCATCATTACATTTGCTGCTTTAGCCAAGTTGTAATGAAAATGTATATTTGTTTCTGTCTCTTTATTAATATATAAACAGAAAATACCAGAAATATACAGTAGTACACAATTTTTAAAAAGCAATTTTTAAAACTAAATGCCTTCTAGCAAAGCTTGAATTCTTTTGGGAAGACCGTCTTAAAGTCATGTTTGACTTAAGGCTGCAAAGCACTCGTTCTTCCACCTCTCTCCAACTCTTCTTCACACAAACTGTTGACGACTGGACCTGAAAATTTCAAGCTTCAATTCATCACTCCATAATCCTCTTTTCCTCTGATCTTCACTACAATCTTTGCAAGCGTGTGCATATCTCAGCCTTCTCTCACTGTCCCCTTCTGAAAAACTGGTTTCTTAGCTGCTGACCTTCAAAGGCCGTTCCAGCTTCTCCGGGTTGTGGAAGGACCAACCTGGCATCCAGATGAAGCTGCCAGATTCTGAACCAGGCCCTTGCTAAATTTCCTCTCAAAGAAGAAACTCTGAGAAACTTCTCATTAGTTTTTGACAGTTTTCTTGGTCAACTCTTGCTTATGTTCTTAACCTCTCTGGATTTTTCACATTTCTTTATAACAGCTTGCATACCGCATCTTAAGCATTTTTGTGTTTTTTTACTGTGTGCATGTTTCCTATATTTTGTAATTGTAGTCTGATAGATAAATGTACATAGTCATCAAAACATTGCTAAAATAACAAATCTAATGGTGGCCTAAGACTTTTACATAGTACTATACATGAGAAAATCATCTACCTGAGCCACAATGCATCAAAACGGCAGCTGGACAGCTTCATTACTCAGAGACCTTAGCTTTAAAACACTGTTAATTGCTCTTTATCTGGGATTGGCAAGACCTTTAACACAGTAATACACTCCCAAAATAAGTATTTAAATATTTCTAATTCTGTTTGCTCAACGAGATCTAAACCGGGAGCTTGATCTCTCTGTGGTCTGACCCCAAACATTAGGTAAACTCACTATGGAGGGTAACACTATGAGTGAACTCTAGCATAGAAACAAACAAATTAAACAAAGCTCATGCAAAGGAAACAATTATCACCTGAATACATTTCACCACATCCTTACATCCTGTTCTCTAGAAATAATAATTGCACGGTGAGTAATAATACCTTTAGGGGCATAAAAGAAAACACAATGTTTAATATAACAAGAGGATGGAACTTGTATCAAATCTGTTAGAGTACTTTTATCTCTACCTTAGAACATAATGTGAACAGTTTGAAAGGTAGAGAATGACTTAAAGGTTCTCTAAAATAATCAGTTTTATCTTAAGTACATCTTAAGCCACATTAATTCTGACTGCAGTCTGGATACATTATGCATTAAAATCTTCAAACTGAATATACCAGGATCTAGCATCACAGATGAACACCTTCTGAAACAAGCAGTGTAGTCAGCCCTCTGACTGACTGGATTCCCCAGGTAAGTGCCAACACCAGTTCCATTTGAACAGGAAATAAAATGTGAAGTAAACAGCATTTTGCCATATAAAAGGAAGAGATTAAAGAAACTTTGGCAGCCAAGCGTGGGTAATTGATTTATAATTTATCAATGGTTGTGCTGAGCAGTGGCCAACAGAGAGAAGGGACGGATTTCAACCTCTTTGCTTTCTCTCCTGAGAACACTTAATATGGGCATTTCTATTCTCAGAGTGGTTATTTAAAGTACAGCTATCAATAGACACTGCAACGAATCTGACAGAATATAAGCAAAATAACCCTCCCCATTCCCTGCCTGATTAAATGAAATTGTGCAAGCAATGAAAGTGATCTATGATACTAAGGTGAACGTGCAAAGTGCCATAAATCTCTTTTTGTCCTACCTTGAAAGGTCAGCATTTGCTAAGATGAGTCCAGAGAAACTGTTTTATTTCTCAATAATAAAAGGGAGAAAGCAGAAGCTACTCTAAAGACAGAGTTCCTGCCTAAGCAATAAACTGCTGCGTGTTCATTAATGACAGCGTTCCATCACAGGGTGGAGGGTGAAACCAAGGTGAATGACACCATAGTGTGGTGTTGCACTTTACATTCACTGCTTTCAAATGCTGTTTAAGTAACCGTCACATAAGATGCAGAATTAATCAGTAAGGATTGCACACTGGCAAAAGGCCATCGTTCACAGCCAGTTGATTTGTCAGTGACCCAAGATGTTGTTGTACAAAGACCAATTTACACTCTGAGCTGACACTTTATACTGAAGGTACATATGTACAAACTAATGCAATTCAGTACAACAGAATAGGGATAAATCCTTTCTTTGGAGCCTATAATGCTCTTTTGCTTGTGGACAGAGGTGAGGTATATAAAACATAACAGCGAACAGCATCTTTTAGGCATTACTTTTTAAAATTCCTTCCCTCACCACCCTCACTCTGTGAGCGAACACTCGGCAATGTAGTACTGCACTTCTATAAATTTAGGAGACTCACAAAAAAAATGTTTTTTAAAGAATGGTTCAAATTGATGCAGCATAGGCCGAGCTATTTCATCCCAGTATGAGTCAAGCTCAGGAAATGCTGGATTCTACAGTTCCCCTAATGCAACTCAATAGTACCTTTTGCCTGATAGTACAATGAGGGTTATTTGTCAGACTTTGGAAAAGCTTCCTCCAGAGCCAAAAAACACATTATATAACTGTTTACCCGGGGTATTTCACATGATGAGGAGACTTAACTTAAAGTCAGTTGAGTGCTCCTTAAAGCAGCATCTATACTTCAGGAAATCAGAACTGCACATTCTACCAGGAAAGTCTCCTCAATGCATTTGTCCTTCTGATGTTCACTTGTTTGTTATGGAAACCGACCAGTCATTAAATTAAAATCTAAATCCAACTCAAATCCATCATGAGCAACACAACAGAGAACAAGAATTCATTTTATGAAAGACCCATAGGCTTGGTTGATAACATTTCAGGCTCTACAATTTGCCTGTACCACATTATTAAAATCCAATCACCACTCAGCAACTTCTCTAACAACTTGGTGAAGAGCCATCCACTTTTACAAAGCAAATCTGTACAGCTCTCAAGAATTATTGGACAGTGTTTGGCAGAAACAAATGGTCAGGCAAGGATGTGATAGCAGCAGCTGCTGCTGCTTTCCAATTCAAATGCCAATCAGAGACTCTTGAAGTGAAACTTCTTTTCTGTAAACTGTAATTTTTTAATGTTTGTTTTACTGATCTTTACTTTTATACAAAATTTTACAACATGACTTTTGTGGAACATGTCAACTATCTTGCAGTAAAAAAAAATGTTTTTTTCCTCATTTGACAGCGATTTAATTATTGCCAGCACTTAGGCAGTGTAGTACACCAACTGGGATTTTAATAACTGTTGAGTTGCCAGCTGTGAACTATTAAGAAATGATGGTAATGACCAGCGGATTGAGAAATCAAATTCCCAAGCAACAGCCAGTGATGCCTCCCATACAGCTGGCCTAAATAATAGCTTGTTTCCTAACAACTGCAGTTGACAGTGTATGGCTATTCTAACACAGCCATAAACTTGTGATATGATGACTATTGGCACTGAGCTCCTTCAGAAGCCAAATGGCGAGAAATGAAAGCAGTGGATGCTGTAGAGAACGCTGAAGGCTTAATAGCATTGAAAGTGTAGACAGGTTTACTCACCCTGTACCAAACTATCTCTCGAAGCCTTCCGTCAGTTTTGAAGTTACACTTGAGAGTAACAGTCTCTCCCACAACAACAGGAGGCAGGGGCTCTATGGTAACTGTCAAATATCCTGAAAAAAAGGATGAAAGCGTTTTATTACACTAATAACACTTTATTTATCTGTCCAGCTGAATTTAAAGTTGAACAACACCAATAGAGCAGTCATGATTTGCAGTACATGAATCTTTTTAAAAAGGTTAACATTGATCGAGTGCACATTTTCTTTTGGAACAATGCCACGATTTATTCTTATGCATTCAACACAACAAGCACTCTCACACAGGGGTTAAGTATCTTGGTAAACAGCATTTCACTGGCAGTTACTTAAGGATGGAGGAACCTTTATTTTTCAGTGACCTTGCATAATTTCTTCATGTGGCTTGGAGATTCAAACAAACAAACTTGAGTTACAGTGAAATCATGTCTCAAAAATCTACCTTAGACTAATGTAAGACATGTAGTAGTTATGGAGCAACTTTGTAAAATGTACATTCCATCTTTTTAAACCCAGAAAAATGTGTGAAATCTGTATGACTGTATACGAGACATTCAGGTATCTTCTTCTCGCTTTAAAGTATATTCATGACTTTTAGCTTTTAGCTTGTGTTCATTCAAAGTCTGTTTGACTTTGAATAAACACGCTCAGTCAATTAACCTCTAAGAGAAACAAAGGCATCTGAACAGCAGTACGACTCCAGTAACTGCTGTAAATATTTTCTCATTCATAAACAGTAAATATAAAGAACCTAATGAGCTATGTCAAAATCATTGAAACATAAGTCAGGGGTTTATACTGAAATTGTGCTTTAAAAGGAAATTTTTGCATTTGACAAGGGCAGCTCAATCATAATCTGCAATTAATAACATGTTTTATTAGAAATCAGAGAATTTACTGTCTAATTTGTGCCCTGCAGTGTATGCACCCTGGAGCCACTCTGTTGTCCAGTAATTGAAAATACTTATAATTTTCATTAAACCTTAATTGAGGCTTTTGTGCTAACTAGTACAACAGCAACACAAATCCCACACACACCAGTAAAAAGTATATGAGAAATAAGTGTAAAATGCAAGGTCACAGAAGTCAGACGCAGATTTGAATTCAGGCTTCTCAAAGAGAGAAATAAGAGTCCCAGATGAATTCTTGACCTTGTTAGATTATGCCCGATCCTCAGCCCTCTGAACAACCATCTACACACAATACTTCACACAGACCGGCAACCCCACTGTTCCGTGCACACATGCATACAGTACATAAATAAGGTGCGAATTGTACCAGGGTTTGAGATTCTATCTGCCAGATAAAAATGGGCGGATACAAAAGATAACTACCTGGTGAGAAAAACAAGACCTTAAAGAAAATACATCCAGAACGTATGTAGGATATATTCAAAATAAGATTACACCTATAACCCGTGCAAGCTAAATACAGTGCCAAAAATCTGCATTATCTATCTCAAATATATCTAGAGTGTAGTGTCTCTTCACATCTGGCTATAGCAGAGTGAGCCAGCAATGTTGTGTGGGCTCCAGTGACAGATGCGCAACCCTCTGCCCAACACAACAGCAGTTTCATAGCATTCAGCGTTTAATAAGAGAACTGTATCTTGTAAAACAGATGGATACTACAGGAAAAATATAAAACAAAGTCAAATGGGTCCTAATGGCCAATAACTGTGAAGAACAAACTATGTGGGCTGCAGTATCTCACAGAAGTCCACAGTGATCACTGCAAAGAAAGGATGGAGGAGCAGCGATAAAGACAGTGCTGTACAACACATCAGATCAAACCCCCCCCCCGTTTTTTTTTTTTTGTTACATAAACTTACAGCGTTGTTTTTCTTATTCATGGCACAAAGTGCATGCACACAAGGTTGAATAGCTGTGACCAAAGATGGTTAGACTCTAATGACCCTCTGCAGGAAGTGCTGAAACAGCAGTGAATGCATAGATATCATAAATCAGATTAGATTTTGAGAAGAAAATCTTCCCGGCATGAGGATGGACAAGGCATCTAAGGATGTTCATACTCTGGTCCTGTTTTTAGGTAAATGATTTAGATGTAGGCAAAATGACAACACAAAGCTGGCTGATATGAATGTCATTTCCATTAACTAACAATTTTTCATCACTCCTGCCACGGGTACTTTAAAATCAACTAAAATAAAATGTGAGATTTTAGTGGCGGAGCCAGGGGGAGCCTATCCCTGCTGCCACCCCTGCCAGAGTCAAAATGTGATGCTATTAACTGGTAAAAAATGGAAAACAATGACACATTATTGCCTTAAATACAACTGACTTTTTTTCTTGCGCTTTAAAATTGATATTAGTCAAATTAGTTTACTTTATATCATGCATGCAGCATAATATTTGCATTCATTTCTCCAATTGTATTGCTGTGGAGTACTTGGCATGATTTGGCCCAGTGGGAGGGAACCACTGTGCAGCAGCAGCGACGTCCCTGACCAGAAGTGCAGCCAAAGTTTAAGCTAAGGAAAGCAAAATAAACAATTTGATTTCTAATAATGTATGGTTGATTATTTCATTGAACTAGGGGTTTAACTTACATGTGTTTCAAATGTGCCACCCCTCTTCGAGTCTGTGCCCCAGCCTGGAAACCCTGTCCAAAACCTTCAAGATCCACCCCCCAGTGTCTGTTTTTACTGCATGGGCAGTTTGTATCAGTCAGAACATACAACATATAAGCCACAAGTTTCACGGTCAGATTTAAAATAGCTTCAAGCAGCAAACAACACGGCTATATCATGCATCTTTGATGTGGTGTTTGTCTATATCCATACACAAACTGTTCAGACACCGTTTATCTGCTGGCAAAACACGCAGTGAGCTTCCTCTCCCACTTAGATGAAATAATGTTTGTGAGTTACTAACAAGTCTAGTAAGAAGAACATATCCACTCACAGAAAAGGCCACAGTGCAAGTGCAGTCCTCTTTCATAAAAAAAAAAGAGCACTTAATATCTTAAGTAAAACCACTTTCTTATTTCAGTACGTGCACTGGCATAAGAGTCATAGTATCAGGGCCAAAAAGGAGGACAGCTTAACTGTTTATTTCTCTTCACAGTCCATCCATCCATCCATTTTGCTTATCCGGGACCGGGTCGCGGGGGCAGCAGTCTAAGCAAAGATGCCCAGACTTCCCTCTCGCCAGACACTTCCTCCAGCTCCTCTGGGGAAATGCCAAGGCGTTCCCAG